GAATATACGTTTTTCTCAAGTGCACATGGGACATTTTCAAAAATAGACCACATACTGGGTCACAAGCAAAGTCTCCCCAAATTCAAGAAGATTGAAATCATACCAAGCGTCTTCTCAGATCACAATGGCATAATATTAGAAATAAACTACAATAAAAACAACCCAAAATACTCAAACACTTGGAAGCTGAATAGCATGTTATTAAATATTGATTGGGTTACCAATGAGATGAAGAAGAAATTAAAAACATCCTGGAAAATAATGACGATGAAAACACAACAATCCAAAACCTATGGGACACAATGAAAGCAGTCCTGAGAGGGAAGTTTATAGTCCTACCGGCCTACCTCAAAAAACAAGAAAAAATGGTAGTAAGTCATCTAACTCTACATCTCAAAGAATTAGCAAGAGAGCAACAAGAAAAGCCCAGAGTGAGCAGAAGGAAGGAGATAATAAAGATTAGAGCAGAAATAAATGACATAGAGATCAAAAAAACAATACAGAAAATCAATGAAACCAAGAGCTGGTTCTTTGAAAGGATAAACAAGATTGATGAACCTGTAGCCCGGCTCACCAAGAAGCAAAGAGAGAGTACCTAAATAAACAAAATCAGAAATGATAGAGGCGAAATAACAACAGACCCCACAGAAATACAAATGATTCTTAAAAAATACTTTGGAAAACTCTGCTCCAACAAACTAGACAACCTGGAGGAAATGGACATATTCCTAGAAAAATACAACATTCCAAAACTCAATCAGGAAGAATCTAAAAATCTCAATAGGCCAATAACTATGGAAGAAATTGAAGCAGTCATCAAAAAGCTTCAGCAAACAAAAGCCGAGAGCTAGATGGCTTCACGGGACTTTTCCCAAACATTCAAGGAAGAACTAAAACCTATCCTCCTTAGACTACTACAAAAAATTCAAGAGGAAGGAACACTTCCAAGCTCATTCTATGAAGCCAGCATCAGATAAAGACAACAGAATGAAAGAGAATTACAGGCCAATATCCCTCATGAACAAAGATGCCAAAATCATCAACAAAATCTTAGCAAATCGGATCCAGCAGTATATCAGAAAGATCATACATACACCATGACCAAGTAGGATTTATCCCAGGGATGCAAGGATGGTACAATATCCGCAAATCAATAAACGTGGTACATCACATAAACAAATTGAAAGAAAAAGACCACATAGTCATATCAGTTGATGCAGAAAAAACAGTTTGACAAAATTCAACACCCATTTTTGATAAAAACTCTCAGCAAGGTGGGAGTAGAAGGATCATACCTCAACATAATAAAAGCCATATATGACAAACCCACAGCCAACATCATACTCAATGGACAAAAACTAAAACCATTTCCCCTAAGAACAGTAACAACTCAGGGATGCCCACTCTCACCACTCCTGTTCGGCATAGTACTGGAAGTATTGGCCATTGCAATTAGACAAGAAGAAGAAATAAAAGGCATCCAAATTGGAAAAGAAGAAGTAAAACTGTCCTTATTCGCAGATGACATGATATTATACATACAAAACCCTAAAGACTCCATCAAAAAACTATTAGACTTAATAAATGAATTTGGAAATGTAGCAGGATATAAAATTAATGCCAAGAAATCTATGGCATTTCTACATACCAATAGTGAACTTACAGGAAGAGAGACTAAAAAAGCAATCCCATTTACCATCGCAGCACAAAAATTAAGATACCTAGGAATAAACTTACCTAACGAGGTAAAAGACCTCTACTCAGAAAACTACAGGACATTGAAAAAAGAGGTAGAGGAAGACATAAACAGATGGAAGAACATACCGTGTTCTTGGATTGGTAGAAGCAACATCATTAAAATGTCCGTACTGTCCAAAGCAATCTATAAATTCAATGCACTTCTCATTAAAATACCAATGGCATATTTCACAGATCTAGAACGAACTCTCCAAAAATTCATCTGGAATAAAATATGACCCCGAATAGCTGCAGCAATCCTGAGAAGGAAGAACGAAATAGGCGGGATCTCAATACCAGATATCAAGCTGTATTACAAAGCCACTGTTCTCAAAACTGCCTGGTACTGGCACAAAAACAGACATATAGATCAATGGAGTAGAATAGAGAGCCCAGAAATCGACCCGAACCAATATGCTCAATTAATATTTGACAAAGGAGGCAAGAACATACAAGGGAGTCAAGACAGTTTCTGCAATAAATCGTGTTGCAAAAATTGGATAGATACATGCAAGAAAATGAAACTAGACCACCAACTTACACCATACACAAAAATAAACTCAAAATGGATAAAGGACTTAAATATAAGACGCGAAACCATAAAAATACTAGAGGAATCCAAAGGCAAAATCTCAGACATATGCCGAAGCAATTTCTTCACTGATACAGCTCCTTGGGTATTGGAAACTAAAGAGAAAATAAACAAATGCGACTACATCAAAATAAAAAGCTTCTATACAGAAAAATAAACCATCAACAAAGCAACAGGAAAGCCCACTGCATGCGAGAACATATTTGCCAATGTTATCACCGATAAAGGTTTAATCTCCAACATTTATAGGGAACTCATACAACTTAACAAAAGGAAGATAAACATCTCAATCAAAAATGGGCAACGGACCTAAATAGACACTTTTCAGAAGAGGACATTCAGAAAGCCAAGAGACATGAAAACATGCTCAAAGTCACTAATCATCCGAGAGATGCAAATCAGAAGAACAATGACGTACCATCTCACAGCTGTCATAATGGCTATCATCAACAAATCAACAAACGACAAGTGTTGGAGAGGATGTCGAGAAAAAGGAACATTCATGCACTGCTGGTGGGAATGCAGACTGGTGCAGCCGCTATGGAAGACAGTATGGAGTTTCCTCAAAAAGTTAAAAATGGAACTCCCATTTGACCCAGTGATCCCACTTCTAGGAATATATCCCAACAAATCAGAAACACCAATCAGAAAGGATATATGCACCCCTATGTTCATAGCAGCCCAATTCACCTTAGCTAAGATTTGGAAACAGCCTAAGTGCCCATTAGCAGATGAATGGATTAGGAAACTGTGGTACATTTGCACGATGGAATACTATGCTGCTGTAAAAAAAGAAGGAATTCTTACCATTTGCAATAGCATGGATGGAACTGGAGAGCATTATGCTAAGTGAAATAAGCCAGTCAATGAAAGAATAATACCACATGATCTCACTCAGTTATGGATAATTAAGACCGTTATAAACTGATGAGCAAAAATAAATACAGAGGCAGAGCAACATCGAACAGACCGTCAAACTACAACGAGAAGGCTGGGGAGGGTTGTGGGGTGGGGTTGGGGTAAGAGATCAACCGAAGGACTTGTATGCATGCATACGAGCATAGCCAATATACACATGACACTGGGGGGCATGGGAGGCTAGGGGAGGGCCTTGGGGAGAAAAAAAAGGAGACATATATAATACTCTTTGTAATACTTTAAGCAATATAACAATTAATAAAATAAAATATCCAAAAATAAAAATAAAATAAACGCCTAAGTGACCATTTCGTCTGAACGACTGGCCAACCAGTCGCTATGATGCACACCACCATGGGGCAGTTTCTCAATTCAGGAGCTGCCCCCTGGCGGTCAGTGCGTTCCCACTGCCAACCTCCCAAGGTTTTTTCTCCTGGCCAGCAGGCCTCAATCGGAACTTGGGTGAGATGGCTCCAATTGGCCCTGATCACCGGCCAGGCCTAGGGACCCCACCCATGCATGAATTCGTGTACTGGGCCTCTAGTGTAAATATAAAAGGTTAAAATTCCAGTCATGATTCCTTAGGCCTTTCGAGCCAAACCATGTGCATAAGTAAAAATTGAGTAAGAGTATTGTTAAAATATAAAACATGATTAAGAGCAAATCTCATGTCATTTTGAGTTTTAAAAGACTTTTGTGAAGTAAAGACGGATAGAAATGTAAAGTTCCTGGTTACATGGAATAGAAGCATAAAACTGGTGTTCCTTAAAATCATGCTAAGTGAAATAAGTCTTCTGGGATGATATCAGAGAGCAACTAAAGTCCTTTTTAGGGAAAATGCTATTTAAGAGATGAACTACAGGCAGAATACACCATGGGAATAAACATTTAGGAAATGAAAACTAGAAATCACTACATAAAGGAGTCCTTGCTTGAGAAAAAGAGACTATGTGTAGTTCAGACATTTTTCCAAAAATTAAAAATCTCTTGACAAACACTAAAATTTTTACTGCTACCTATTTCATTACCTTTTTGCTGGAGGAATTAAATTTTCTCTGTAAAGAAACAAAGATGCAGAAATATTTAGTTGGATCTTCTTTGCCTTCATTAAGTACAGCAAATATTTTTTAATCTATCAAAAGTATGTAGTTTTATCATGGAATACTATGCAGCTCTTACCCTTTGAGATATCATGGAGGGACCTGGAGAGTATTATGCTAAGGGAAATAAGCCAGTCAGACAAAGAGAAGTATCACATGATCTCACTCATGTGGAATCTAATGAACAAAATAAACTGTTGAACAAAATAGATCCAGAGACATAGAAGCATGGAACAGATTGTCAAATCTCAGAGGGAAGGTGGGGGTCGGGTGGGGGGTGGGAAGAGATCAACCAAAGAACTTGTATGCATATATGCATAACCCATGGACACAGACAATAGGGTGGTGGAGGTAAGGGGTGAGTGCGGGCTATAAGGGGTCAATAGGAGGAAAAAGGGGACAGATGTAATACTTTCAACAATAAAGATTAAAAAAAAAAAACCAAAGGGACAAGGAAAGACAGTATGTAGTATAGTTAAAATATAATTGATTTAGCTTCTTAAAGAAATTTGAAGACAAATTTTGCCTTCATAGAAGAAAATTTTTGCGTGTGTGTTTTTTTTTCTGTTCTGGATAAAACTTTGTTTTTTCTGAGCACGATAGTTAATAATTTTGGGATTAAAAAGTATTAATAGTTATTTCTACTTTTATAGTTCTACTTGTCCAATTCTGAAAGGGAACATTATGAAAAAGAATTCAGCCAAGAACGACAACAAGAAATTTTGAGAAGAACAGCGAAGGACTTACCTATCTACACCACATCAGGCTCAAGGAGTAAGAAAAACAAATTTTAAGCTTTTCTACTCAAAGCATTTTTAAAAATATGGTCATACCTGCCAAGATTTATTTGCATGATTTGACTATTAAATGGATATTTCAATTCCTAAAATAACATAGGCAAGAATAAGATTTTTCTAATGTTCTGTCTTCTGTGATATTTTAGATATAGATATGTATATATATTGATACAGATTTTTTAAAAGATTTCCTTTAATATGAGTCTCTTTTTCTCTACATGTTCTTTTTTTCCCAACTTCACCTTTATGGCTAAAAGTTTGAGTTATGATTCTTAGTAAACTATCATTTGGAAATTCTGGTTTGAATTTGAATATTATGTGTCATCTCTGAGTAATTATAAAAAATCAAGAACATGCTAAATTAGAGAGGAGAGAAGTAGAAGCTAATATTCAGAGCCAGAATTTGAACTCAGGTTTGTGTGGTGCCAAAGCTGTTGGTATTTCCACTGTCCCACTGCCTCCATTGAGAGATATGTGACTGCAGTAGCAGCTTCCTTTTCTCAGGGACAGAACCTTATGATAGGGGTGAAACTATGAGTGGCCAAACTGATTATTTAAATATAGTAACCTGTTTTAAATTATGTATCATGTAACTCAAGAATTCATTAAATACCAGATAATACTAGTAGCTAACAATTACTCTGTTATGAGTGCTTTGCACCTATAAACTCATTTAAACTTCACAACAATCCTGTGACGGTGATACTGTTGTCTACAGATTAGGAAACTGAGACACAATGGGCTTAAGTATCTTTTTCAAGGTCAGACAGATATATGTAAAAAAAATGGGTTTAAAGAAAAGTGCTCTGGCTTCAGGACCCACCAGTGCTTCTCCACCCAGTGGGAAACAAAAGACTTTTCCTGTGTATAGTTATATACACACTAGAGGCCTGGTACACTAAATTTGTGCACTCGGGGGGGACGGGGGCTCCCTCAGCCTGGCCTGTGCCCTCTCGCAGTCTGGGACCCCTCGGGAGATAACGACCTGCTGGCTTAGGCCTGCTCCCGGGTGGCAGAGGGCAGGCCCAATCCCTAGGTGCAGCCCCTGGTCGGGCTCAGAGCAGGGCCGATTGGGGAGTTGGGGCACCACCCCTGTCATGCACAGAGCAGGGTGGATCGGGAGGTTGCGATGCCACCCTCAGTCACGCTCAGGGTAGGGCCGATTAGGGGGTTGGGGCACCGCCCCCTATCACACTCAAGGCAGGGTCGATGGGGAGGTTGCGGCGCCACCCCCTGTCACGCACAGAGCAGGGCCAATCAGGGGGTTAGGGCGCTGCCTCCTGTCACTCACAAGCAGGGCTCATCAGGGGGGTTGGGGCTCCGTACCCTGCCACGCACAGAGCAGGGTCGATCAGGGGGTTGGGGAGCTCCCCCCGTCACGCACAGAGCAGGGCCAATCGGGGTTGAGGAGCTCCCCCCTGTCACTCACAGAGTAGGGCCGATAGGGGAGTTGGGGCACCGCCCCGTCAAACACAGAGCAGGGCGGATCACGGGGTTGGGGCGCCACACCTGTCACACTCAGGGCAGGGCTGATGGGGAGGTTATGGCTCTACCCCGTCACACACAGAACAGGGCCCGTGGGGGGGGGGGGTGTTGGGGCGCCGCCCTCTATCACCCACAGAGCAGGGCCGGTCAGGGGATTGGGGCATCCCCACTGTCACACTCAGGGCAGGGCTGATGGGGAGGTTATGGCTCTACCCCACCACACACAGAGCAGGGCCCGTTGGGGGTGGTGTTGGGGCGCCACACCCTGTCACACACAGAGCCGCAGGGCGATCAGGGGGTTGGGGAGCTTCCCCCTATCAGGCACAGAGCAGGGCTGATCAGGGGTTTGGGGTGCCTTCCCCTGTCACGAACAGAGCAGGTCGGATAGGGAGGTTGTGGCCCCGCCCCCTGTCACACACAGAGCCACAGGGCGATCAGGGGGTTTGGGCGCTGCCCCCTGTCACGCTGATCCCAGTGCCGGGAGGCCTCACTGCTCCGCTGATCCCGGTGCTGGGAGGCATTTTACCCTTTTACTATATAGAATAGAGGCCTGGTGCACGGGTGTGGGCCGGCTGGTTTGCCCTGAAGGGTGTCCTGGATCAGGGTGGGGGTCCCCACTTGGGTGCCTGGCCAGCCTGGATGAGGGGATGATGGCTGTTTGCAGCTGGTCACACACCCTTCAGGGTGGGGGTCCTCACTGGGGTGCCTGGCCAGTCTGGGTGAGGGGCTGAGGGCTGTTTTCAGGCTGGCGGGTGACTGAAGCTCCCAACCGCTCCTTTTTTTTTTTTTTTTTTTTTTTTTTTATTCTGGGCCAGCTTTAGCTCTGAGGCTTGGCTCCAGCTCTTAGGCCTCGGCTGCTGAAAGCAGGTATCTGGTTTGTTTGGGTTCTATAATTGAAACACTGTTTCAACTCCAGCTCTGAGATCCCGGCTGGCTGAAAGCAGGTTTCTGGGGTTTTGTTTAGCTTCTATATTTGTAACAATGTTTCAAACTGCAAGCTCAGAGGCCGGCAGTGGCAGGCGGGGAACGTTGGAGTCCTCCGTCACTGGAGCAAGCAAGCTTTATGTTCGCTTCAAGCTGCCTGGCTGCCGGCTGCCATCTTGGCTGGCAATTAATTTGCATATTGCCCTGATTAGCCAATGGGAAGGGTATCCGAGGTATGGCTAATTACCATGTTTCTCTTTTATTAGATAGGATTGTGAGTTCAGAAAGTATAAAGTTTGCACAAGATTTTTGGAGGGGATATTTGACCAAGTTTTTCGTTTTTTTGATGCATTTAATGCTGTCCTTCTTACATAATTTAGTATATTACCATATGGAATGAAAACATGGATTTCAAATCAGACCCCACTTTCCCATTACTAGTAGTACAATGAGAGTTAAACTTTCTAAGCCCTAGTTTCCTCATTTTAAAATGAGGATAATATCTACATCTCTGGGTTAGTCGAAGTATTAAATGAGAAACATAGATGAGATATGCACTTAGTATAGATCTTTGTACATAATGAATTTGCAATATATGATAGCTTATTTAAAATAATCCTTTGTTAAAAAATATTTTTATTGCTTTTTAGAGAGAGATAGAAAGGAAAAGGGAGAGAGAGAGAAACATCGATCAGCTGACTCCCTTACATCCCCTACCAGGGATCAAGCCCTAAACCCCAGCATGTGCGCTTACCAGGGATAGAACCTTATGGTATATCCTTATGGTGCATGGACATTGCCCAACCAACTGAGCCACATCAGCCAGGGCAATCTTTTCTTATATTTAATTATGAAAGGTCTGGTTAATAATAATTCTTAGTAGTTAACAATACTTCTCTGCAGATTAGATGTGTTTAACCCAAAGTCCAAGATTTCAAAGAATTTAGGAAGCCCTGAGGTTTTACACAAAATTTCAAGTAGCCTATTCATAACAAGATCATCTGAGCAGTACATGTGCTCCAAAGAGTTAAGAGCCATGATGTGAAATCTTGACTCTTTTTTAAAAAAATACATTTTATTGATTTTTTTACAGAGAGGAAGGGAGAGGTATAGATAGTGAGAAACATCGATGAGCTGCCTCCTGCACACCCCCTACTGGGGATGTGCCTGCAACCAAGGTACATGCCTTTGACCAGAATTGAACCTGGGACCCTTGAGTCCGCAGGCCGATGCTCTATCCACTTAGCCAAACCAGTTAAGGCTTGACTGTTTTTTTAAAAAAATATTTTTATTGGTTTTTAGAGAAGAAGGGAGAGGGAGAGAGAAACATCGGTTCGAGAATGGATCATCGTCCCTGCTGAGGATTAAGCCCACAGGCCGTGTATGTGCCCTGATCAGCAATTGAACTGGAAGGCTTTTGGTGCACTGCACAATGCCCAGCCACCTGAGCCATACCAGCCAGGGCTAAAATCTTTACTCTTAAAAAAGCTTTTCTGCTTTTCATTACATAAAATGGCTGCCCTCTAATCTGAATAGTAGCTTCATCTATTGAATAATACATCAGTATCAGGCCAAGCACTTTATTGGTGATTGTTTAATCCTCAGAACAATTCTGAGATGGGTGCTGCACTTGTCCCCATTTTAGAGATGTGAGGCACAGTGAGAAATACCCAGAGTCTCAAGTGGCCAGGCCTGGGATATGTGCCTTATTTTCTGACTGCTGGCAGGTCTTGCTCTGGGGAACTATTTTATACTGTATTTCTACTGCTTAGAATCCCAAACTCTGGGGCTTTTTCTTTTTCTTGCTACAGAAGCAATACCTATAGATCTTTAAAGAACAAAGTTACAGAAAAATGTTACAGAAAGTCGACTTTTCATAGACCAGAGATCATTGAAAGTATGGAGGTGCCTTCACAGAGGGGAGTTAGGGTGCTGGGCATCAGAGTGGGGTCTTCTCACTGAATTCTTTTGTGTGTGCTTTTTCGCGCTATGTGGATATATTATTATCTATTCAGGAAACAAAATGTGTCTTTCCAAACCTTCTCCCCTCCAATCTCAATCCAACCAGCAGTTATCTCTAGCTTTGTTCCACACTGTTTCCCTGTGTTAACTCTGCTAACACAGAGGTGGAGTTGTCCTTCCCCACCTTTTTTTTTTTTTCTTTTGGTTGTTGTGCTGCCTGGAATGATTATTTTTCTCCCTTTAAATCCAGTTTAAAGTTTTTGTTTTTGTTTTTAATATATTTTTATTGATTTTTTACAGAGAGAAAGGGAGAGGATTAGAGAGTTAGAAACATCAATGAGAGAGAAACATCAACCAGCTGCCTCCTGCACACCTCCCACTGGGGATGTGCCCGCAACCAAAGTACATGCCCTTGACAGGAATCGAACCTGGGACCTTTCAGTCCGCAGGCTGACGCTCTATCCACTGAGCCAGACCGGTTTGGCTAAAGTTTTAATTCACTGTCCACCTCTCTGCAGCTTTTTTCACTTTAACAAGAAGTGATTTAGTGGGTCTTCTCAGAACATCTCTAATTTTTACCTTGTAGACTATAAGTCAAAGCCTTTTAGTTATCGATGTCCTTCTCACTTTACTGACTTTAAGCCCCTGGCAGCCAAGAGTTCTCCCATGGTCTCTAACACAGTGTCTCAATAAACAGGCATCAAGAGATGTCTGTGGAGTGACTATTTCTTGGTGTTCTCTTTCATGGCTATTTGTACTTTATTTATTCATTTATGTATTTATTTGTGTGCACTTTTTAAAAAATATATTTTATTGATTTTTTTACAGAGAGGAAGGGAGAGGGATAGAGAGTTAGAAACATCGAAGAGAGAAGCATCGATAAGCTGCCTCCTGCACACCTCCTAGTGGGGATATGCCCGCAACCAAGGTACATGCCCTTGACCGGAATCGAACCTGGGACCTTTCAGTTCACAGGCCAACGCTCTATCCACTGAGCCAAACCGGTTAGGGCTGTGTGCACTTTTTAATCTCCCTGGTTTTCTCTCCTTCACTAATTTTTCTCATCATAGAATTTTACTTTATATTTTATTAAAAATAATATTTTTATTATAGTGATAATTGCTTTATTGAGAATCTGCTATGTTCAGAGGTTTTATTTTTATCTGAAAACTAGTTCATTATAATTGATATTATTTACATTTACAGAAGAGGAAACGGAGGCTCTTAGAATGTAAGTTACTGGCCCAAGGTCATCAGCTAGTCATTGGGCGAACTAGTATCAAAACTGATGGCAGAGTTATTAGTTGTCCATTTCCCCAGAGTTATTTATAGAAGAAATGAAAGCAAATTTTATAGTCAAATTAAGTAAAGTTGTATAACCTTCAACACCTTTTAATTCTTAAATGTAGCCATCAGATATTGTGAAAGATGTCAGTTGATTAAACCTGATCGGGCGCATCACTGCTCAGCATGTGACATGTAAGTGTTACCTTCATTTGCTTTCCTTTAGCCCCAGCATTGGAAATTGGTGACAGGAGAACAGAAGGGGAAGGGGCATTTTATATGCTTTATACTTAGCAAAAACACTTCATCCTCTCCCATCATTTGCTAATACAGTGGGGCCTTGACTTACGAGTTTAATTCATTCCGAGACCGAGCTCGTAAAGGAGCTCGTTAAGGACCTCGTTAACTCAAATTACTCTGTCAACTCAATGCAAATAATCTGCCGAGAGACAGCTGGTATCTCAAAAAACTCGTTAGTCGGGACACTCGTAAGTCAAGGCCCCACTGTATATGTGGGCTAACATTAATATTTCCATAAGCTAGAATATACTTTGGCGTAATCTTTAATAATAGTTCCTGTACTGGTTGATGGAATTTTCTTTTTTTTTAATCCTCACCTGAGGATATATGTTATTAGAGAGAGGAAGAGAGGAAGAGAGAGAGAGAGAGAGAAACATTGATTGGTTGCCTCCCATACGATCCCCAACTGTGGATCAAACCCACAACCTAGGTATGTGTCCTGACCAGAAACCGAACCCATAAACTTTTGGTGTATGGGATGATGTTTCCACCAACTGAGCCACCCAGCCAGGACTTGATGGAGTTTTCTTTAAATATATTTTTTATGTTTATGCTTAATATAATATTGATGAACAAGTAAGAAATTACCCCCTTAAGAATAACTATTTCCTGGATTAAAATGTTAATTTTTTGATTTTTATTATAAATGTTGATATTAAAACCTAACAAGCCACACGCAAAAAAATATTTCTTTAATTTTAATCTGTAACGTTGTTCCCAGAAAAAACTTAAAAGATTTTATTCCTGTACACTTGTTAGAAGATAATGTGTTGGAAGGAAAGATCCCCAGTTTGGGAATCCCAGTTAATTCTTGAACTTGAGTTAGACAAGTTATTTAACCTTCTGGGTTTAACTTTATCATTTATTATGTTAATGGAGATGATCTGTGGTCTGACTTTATAAATATACAAAAGGCCTGGTGCATGATCGGGGCCGGGGAGGGCCGTGGGAAGGCTCCAGGGCATGTCCGGCCCATTTTGCCCAGTCCCGATTGGCTGGACCTCAGCAGCAAGCTAGCCTATCAGTCGGAGCATCTGCCCCCTGGTGGCCAGTGTGCATTATAGCTACCGATCGAATGGTTGCTTTGGCTTTTATATATATAGATAGATTACATATACTGGCAGGGAGGCAAATTTTGGGATTTTTTTTTTAATTATAAAAATAATTAAATGCTTATCCATGGATAGAATTTTATAAAATACTAGAGGCCTGGTGCATGAAATTCATGCACGGCTAGGGTCCCTAGGCCTGGCTGGCAATCAGGACTAATCTGTGGGGTGACCGGTGGGGCAATTGGGGGGAGCCCCTGCTGGCACCCGCCTTGGCTGGCCTGGTGCTGCCCACTCGCCAGCCCTGCCCCCTGCCACCACCGTCGGTCCTGCAGGCTGGGGGCAGCTCCTGCGTTGAGCGTCTGCCCCCTGGTGGTCAGTGCACATCATAGCATCTGGTCATTCCACCGTTCGGTTGATTTGCATATTAGGCTTTTATTATATAGGATGTGGAAAAATAATCACATATAAGCCCATCAGTATTAATATTTTAACATAGTTGCTTCTAAAGTTTTCTTTTTATAACTTGCACAGATTTAAAATAGGGATTGTCTGTATTTCATTTCATTTCCCTTAGCTGATTTGTGAGCTGGACTAGCTAATGTACCAAGTGCATCATATCTGTGTGTTAAAATGTCTGTCTCTTAATGTGGTCCAAGGCAGAAAACTATTACCTTTTACCTATGAAAGTATTGGGGGAACTATCAGAAAATTTCTCTAATCTAATGCTTACTTGGTTGGTTTTTCTAAGATGTATTTGTAAAGAGAAAAATGTAAGGGAAAAAATTATCAACAATGAGAATTCTGTTTGTTTTTTAGATGTATTCTTAAGATGGATCATCATTGTCCTTGGTATGTATAAACACAGAGGAAGTCACATATAAGGGTGGAGAGGTGGGAAGGAGAGAAAATTTTCAAGATCAACTTAATTACTTATATACAACTAGAGGCCTGGTGCACGAAATTCGTACACTGGGGTGGGGGTGTCCCTCAGCCCAGCCTGCACCCTCTCCAATCTGGACCCCTCAGGGGATGTCCAACTGCCGGTTTAGGCCCAATCCCTCAGGCCTAAACCAGCAGTTAGACATCCCTCTCAAAATCCGGGACTGCTGGCTCCCAACCGCTCGCCTGCCTGCCTGCCTTATTGCCCCTAACTGCTTCTGCCTGCCAGCCTGATTGACCCCTAACCACTCCCCTGCCAACCCGGTCACCCCCAACTGCCCTCCCCTGCCAGCCCAGTTGCCCCTAACTACCCTCTCCTGATGGCCTGATCGCCCACAACTGCCCTCCCTTGCCAGCCATGTTGTGGTGGCAATCTTGTGACCACATGGGGGTGGCCATCTTGTGCGAGGGTATGACGGTCAGTTTGCTTATTACCTCTTTACTGTATAGGATAAGATTGATCTATTTATATACATGTTTATACTAAATATTTTCCTTTAAAAATATATTCTGATATCGGTAATCCAAATAATTATATATTAAGAATTAATATTAAATTTCCCAGTTCCTTATGGAATTTATTAAAAACACGTTCACAATTAAGACATTGCTCCCTACTTTCCAAATGACCCATTTCCTAATAATAATGATTAAGTTTTTTTGAAATGTCTTGCTTATTATTATGATTAGAAAAAAACAAAACATACATTTTACCATTGTAACCATTTCTAAGTTCAGTTTAGTATTGTGAAGTATGTTCATATTGTGCAACCAGTCTTCAGAACTTTTTGATCTTGCAAAACTGAAACTCTGTACCCATTAAACAGCTTCTCATTTCCCCTCCCTCAGCCCCTGGCAAACATTCTGGTTTTTGTTTCTGTGAGTTTATGATTTGTCTTATTTTTACAGTGTGCCCTTATTTATTCTTCTAGGGTGAATAACTGTGTGGGATTTTCTAATTACAAATTCTTCCTGCTGTTTTTATTGTATTCCCTATTATATTGCCTGTTCGTGGCTACAACAGTTTTACAGTACTTTATAAAATTTTGGACGGTAAGTCTTTTTTTTTATCCTAAAACATGTTTAAGACTTTTTAAAATGCTCTATTCATAAATAATTTATTCTTTATTACAAGTAGATATACTTTATTTTAATTTTAGTAGTTAGAATTTATAATGGATCAGAGAGCAAACAGGGTAATATTTTCCTACATATATACATGTTTACTTTAAGTAAATGAATATTAAACAGGATGTAGTGAGCTTCTTTTTAGTGACCTAAACTGTTTTCAGCCACACTCTTAATAGGGGACATAACAATTTTAGGGAAGTAATTGCTTTTATTTGAGTTGATGAGACTTACTGAAGTTTTATAGTAATAAAACTGATATTCTCAATCTATATAATCAATAATCTCTGTCATATCTGTATAGACATTAATCCTTTTTCTATCATGAGTTGCAAATGTTTTTTCCACATTTTCCTTTTATATCTTACTAGAGGCCCGATGCACGAAATTTGTGCATGGGTAGGGTCCCTAGGCCTGGCCAGCGATTAGGGCCCATCTGTGGGCTGACCAGTGGGGTGATCAGGGGACCCCCGCTGGCACCCACCTTGGCTAGCCTGGGGCCTGCAAACTCGTGGTAGCTTCTGCATTGAGTGTCTGCCCCCTGGTGGTCAGTGCGCATCATAGCAACTGGTCGTTCCACCGGTCATTCTGCCATTTGGTCGATTTGCATATTAGGCTTTTATTATATAGGATAACCCTGCTTTATTTTTTATCAAATCAAAAGTTTTATATTTTAAAGCAGTACTTTTTAAAAATATATATATTTTATTGATTTTTTACAGAGAGGAAGGGAGAGGGACAGAGAGCTAGAAATATCGATGAGAGAGAAACATCAATCAGCTGCCTCCTGCACAGCCCCCACTGGGGATGTGCCCGCAACCAAGGTACATGCCCTTGACCGGAATCGAACCTGGGACCCTTCAGTCTTCAGGCCGATGCTCTATCCACTGAGCCAAACCAGTCAGGCCTAAAGCAGTACTTTTTTAATGATTTCCAATTTTAAGGGTTTTTTAAATTTAAAAACAGTACTTTGTATTTCTGATTCCTAGCTTTAGTTTGTTTGCTATAAATTTCTTCTGGAATTTTTGTTTGTGTTTTCACATTTAATTCTTTGATTTTGAAGGGGGGTTGTTGTGGTTGAAAAGTACTTTTGGCCCTGGCCTGTGCTACTCAGTGGTTAGAGAGAGAGAGAGAGAGAGAGAGAGAGAGAGACATCAATGATGAGAATCATTGATTGGCTGCCTTCTGCATGCCCCCTACTGGGGATGGAGCCTGCAACCCAGGCATGTGTCCTTGACTGGAATCAAACCCGGGACCCTTCAGTCCGCAGGCTGACGCTCTATCCACTGAGCCAAACCAGCTAGGGTGAGGTAGATGTTTCTTTATTGACTTTTTGTTTGGATGATCTATCCACTGATTAAAGTGGGGTATTAAAGTGTCCTCTCTCTCTCTCTCTCTCTCTCTCTCTCTCTCTCTCTCTCTCTCTCTTTCTCCCTCTCTCTCTGTCTCTCTCTTTCTCCCTCTCTCTCTCTCTCCCTCCCTCCCTCTCCCTCTCTCAAATCAATAAAAATATATTAAAAATAAATAAAAATAAAAAATGTGTTTAAAAAAAAAAGAAACATCTACCTCAAATGACACATTAGTCCATATGTACTCAACACACATGCAGTGAACACTCCATCAAAAAACCACAGAATACACATTCTTCTTAAGCACACATTGAACATTCTCAAAGATCTAAACAAGAGATTTTTTTTAGTCAGAAAAACGAGTCTTAATAAATTTAAGAAGATTGAAATCATACAAAGCATCTTTTCCAACCACAATGGTATAAAACTAGAAGTCATTTACAAGAAGACAACTGGGAAATTCACACATAAGTGTACATTAAATGGTACTGAACAACCAGTGGATCAAAGGAGATATTAAAAAATATCTTGGGACAAATGAAAATGGAAGTAAAACACACCAAAACTTACAGAATGCAGCAAAAGCAATTCATAGAGGGAAGTTCATAGTGATAAGCACCTACGTTAAGAATTAAGAAAGATCTCAATGCAACTTCAAAACTTAAGAACTAGGAAACAAAGAACAAATGAAGCCAAAGTCAGCAGGAAGAAGGAAATAACAAAAATCAGATCAGGGTTCATTCAGAATTCAGCTACCAGGGAGATTAAAAATGGTGGTGGAGTAAGTGGATGCTACACAGACACGTCCCCAGGATCAATGAGGTATTACCTCACACCTGTCAGAACAGCTACCATCAACAAATGACAAACACTGATGAGGATGTGGAGAAAAGAGAACCCTAGTACAGCTGGTGGGAATGCAAACTGGTGCGGCCATTATGAAAAACAGTATGGAGTTTCCTCAAAAAATTAAATATGGAACTGCCATTTGACCCAGTGATTCCACTTCTAGGAATATATCCTAAGAAACCAGAAACACCAATTAGAAAGAATGTATGCATCCCTATAGTTATAGCAGCACAATTTACAATAGCTAAGATCTGGAAACAGCCCAAGTGCGCATCAGTAGATGAGTGGATAAAGAAGCCGTGGTACATTTATACCATGGAATACTATGCAGCAGTATAAATAAGGATATCTTACCCTTTGAGACAGCATGGAGGGACCTTGAGAGTGTTACACTAAATGAAGTAAGCCAGTCAGAAAAAGATAAGTATCACATGATCTCACTCATGTGGAATCTAATTAACAAACTCATGAATGGAGTGGTTCCAGAGATATGGAACACAGTGGGTAATCTCAGAGGGAAGGCAGGTGAGGGTGAGTGTGGATGGGTGGGAGGTGATCAACGAAAGAACTTGTATACATATATGCATAACCCATTGTCATAGACAATAGGGTGGTGCAGGCAGGGGGCGGGGGCGGGATGGAAGGGGTCTGTGGGAGGAAAAGGGACATATATAATACTTTCAACAATAAACAAAAAGTTCAACTAACATCTACAAATTTAAAAAAATAGATCAGAAATCAATGAAATAGACTTAAAAAAGAAAATAGAAAAGATTAGTGAAAACCAGAGCTGGTTTTTGTAAAGAGAAACAGAAATAAACAAACCGTTACCTAGACTCACCAAGAATAAGACAGGACTCAAATAAAATTAAAAAATGAAAGAGGAGACATTACAACTGATACCACAGAAATACAGAGGATTATAAGAAACTATTATGAACAATTATATGCCAAGTATTAGACAACCTAGAAGAAATGGATAAGTTCTTAGAACCATACAACCTTCCAACACTGAATTATGATGAAATAGAAAATCTGCACAGACTAATTACTAATAAGGAGATTGAATCGGTCGTCGAAAGCCTCCCTGCCCCCCCAAAGAAAAGTTCAGGACTAGATGGCTTCACTGATAAATTTCACCAAATATTTAAAGAACTAACTCCTGCATTAAACTTTTCCAGTAAATGGAAGAAGAGGGAATAGTTCCAAACTCACTTTATGAGGCCAGCACTACTCTGACACATAAACCAGACAAGGTCACTACAAGAAAAAATTACATGCTAAAATCCTTGGTGAATATAGATACAAAAATCTTTCCACGGAATATTAGCAAATTCAGTAATGCTTTAAAAGAATCATACACCATGATCAAGTGAGATTTATTCCAGGGATGTTTCACCATCTACAAATTCATCAGTGTGATATACCACATTAACACAATGAAGGATAAAAATCATGTTCATCTTAATAGATTCAGAAAAAGACATTTGTTAAAATTCAACGCTGTATACAAAACTCAACAAAGTGGGTATAGAAGGAACATACCACACTATAATAAAGGCTATATCCTATCTAATAAAAGAGAAACATGGTAATTAGCGTACATCCGCTACCTTTCCCATTGGCTAATCAGCGAGATATGCAAATTAACTGCCAGCCAAGATGGCAGCTGGCAGCCAGGCAGTTTGAAGCTAACATGAGGCTTGCTTGCTTCAGTGACGGAGGAAACCAACGTTCCCCGCCTGCCTTGCCAGCCTCTGAGCTTGCAGTTTGAAACATTGTTACAAATATAGAAGCTAAACAAAACCCCAGAAACCTTTCAGTCCGCGGGGATCGCAGAGCGGGAGTTGATATAGTGTTGATTATAGAACCCAAACAAACCAGATACCTGCTTTCAGCAGCAGAGGCCTAAGAGCTGGAGCCAGAGCTAAAGCTGGCCCAGAATAAAAAAAAAAGAAAAAAAGGAGCAGTTGGGAGCTTCAGTCACCCGCCAGCCTGAAAACAGCCCTCAGCCCCTCACCCAGACTGGCCAGGCACCCCAGTGGGGACCCCCACCCTGAAGGGTGTGTGACCAGCTGCAAACAGCCATCATCCCCTCACTCAGACTGGCCAGGCACCCAGGTGGGGACCCCCACCCTGATCCAGGACACCCTTCAGGGCAAACCAGCCGGCCCACACCCGTGCACCAGGCCTCTATCCTATATAGTAGAAGAGTAATATGCCTATATTACTCTATCCTATATAGTAGAAGAGTAATATGCCTCCCAGCACTGGGATCAGCGGAGCAGTGAGGCCTTCCAGCACCGGGATCAGCAGAGCCGCGAGGCCTCCCAGCACCGGGATCAGTGTGACAGGGAGCAGCGCCCAAACCCCCTGATCGCCCTGCGGCTCTGTGTGTGACAGGGGGCGGGGCCACAACCTCCCTATCCGCCCTCCTCTGTTCGTGACAGGGGAAGGCGCCCCAACCCCCTGATCAGCCCCGCTCTGTGCCTGATAGGGGGGAGCTCCCCAACACCCTGATCGCCCTGCGGCTCTGTGTGTGACAGGGTGCGGAGCCCCAACCCCCTCCCACGGGCCCTGCTCTGTGTGTGACGGGGTAGAGCCATAACCTCCCCATCGACCCTGCCCTGAGTGTGAGAGTGGCAGCACCCCAACCCCCTGACCGGCCCTGCTCTGTGGGTGATAGAGGGCGGCGCCCCAACACCCCCTCCACGGGCCCTGCTCTGTGTGTGATGGGGTAGAGCCATAACCTCCCCATCGGCCCTGCCCTGAGTGTGAGAGTGGCGCCCCAACCCGCTGATCCGCCTTGCTCTGTGAGTGACGGGGAGCTCCCCAACCCCCTGATTGGCCCTGCTCTGTGCATGACAGGGGGTGGCGCCGCAACCTCCCCATTGACCCTGCCTTGAGTGTGATAGGGGGCAGTGCCCCAACACCCCAATCGGCCCTACCCTGAGGGTGGCATCACAACCTCCCAATCCGCCCTGCTCTGTGCATGACAGGAGGTGGCGCCCCAACTCCCCAATCGGCCCTGCTCTGAGCCCGACCAGGGGCTGCACCTAGGGATTGGGCCTGCCCTCTGCCACCCGGGAGCAGGCTTAAGCCAGCAGGTCGTTATCTCCCGAGGGGTCCCAGACTGCAAGAGGGCACAGGCCGGGCTGAGGGAGCCCTCCCTCCCCCCCGAGTGCACAAATTTTTGTGCACCGGGCCTCTAGTTTATAAGTGCACAGCTAACATCAACTTTGAAAAAATGAGTGCTGTTCCTCTAAAATAATGAACAAGACAAGGATGCTCACTTGTTTATTCAACATAATATTGGAAGTCCTACCCAGAGCTATTGGGCAAGATAAAGACATTGCCCAGGCAGTGTGGCTAGGTGGTTCAACATTGACCTATGACCTGGGAGGTCATAGTTCCATTCTCTGTCAGGGCACATGCCCGGGTTGTGGGCTCAATCCCCAGTGAGGTTCGAGTGGGAGGCAGCCACCCATTGATGTTTCTACTCTCTCCCTCTCCTTTCCTCTCTGAAATAAAGACACTTTTTTGAAAGTTACTAAACTACTTTAAAAAAAAGAAATCAAGACTTTGATATTGGAGAGGAAGAAGTAAAACTGTCTATTTGTAGATGACATTATTTATAGAAAACCCTAAAGAGTCCATCAAAAAATTAGAATTAATAAATTCAGTAAAATTGTACGATATAAAAATCAGTACAGAAAAATCAGTTGCATTTTGCTACACTAATAATCAGAAAGAGTAAACAATCCCATTTACAATCATACCACAAAGAATAAAATACCTAGGAATAAATTTAAGGAGGTGAAAGACCTGTTATACTGAAAACAGACATTGATGATAACATTTTTTTTTAATTAAATCTTTATTGTTCAGATTATTACATTTGTTCCTCTTTTTTTCCCCCCATAAATCCCCTTCTCCCAGTTCCCGCCCCACCCTCCGCCCTCACTCCCCACCCACTGTCCTCATCTATAGGTGCACGATTTTTGTCCAGTCTCTTCCCGCATCTCCCACACCCCTTTCCCCCCCAGGAATAGTCAGTCCATTCCCTTTCTATGTCCCTGATTCTATTATAATCAACAGTTCATTCTGTTCATCAGATTATTTATTCACTTGATTCTTAGATTCACTTGTTGATAGATGCATATTTGTTGTTCATAATTTGTATCTTTACCTTTTTCTTCCTCTTCCTCTTCTTAAAGGATACCTTTCAGCATTTCATATAATCCTGGTTTGGTGGTGATGAACTCCTTTAGCTTTTCCTTATCTGTGAAGCTCTTTATCTGACCTTCAATTCTGAATGATAGCTTTGCTGGATAAAGTAATCTTGGTTGTAGGTTCTTGGTATTCATCACTTTGAATATTTCTTGCCACTCCCTTCTGGCCTGCAAAGTTTCTGTTGAGAAATCCGCTGACAGTCGTATGGGTATTCCCTTGTAGGTAACTGAGTTTCTTTCTCTTGCTGTTTTTAAGATTCTCTCTTTATCTTTTGCTCTTGGCATTTTAATTATGATGTGTCTTGGTGTGGTCCTCTTTGGATTCCTTTTGTTTGGGGTTCTCCGCGCTTCTTGGACCTGTAAGTCCATTTCTTTCACCAGGTGGGGGAAGTTTTCTGTCATTATTTCTTCAAATAGGTTTTCAATATCTTGCTCTCTCTCATCTTCTGGCACCCCTATAATTCTGATGTTGGTACGCTTGATGTTGTCCCAGAGGCTCCTTACACTATCCTCGCATTTTTGGATTCTTTTTTCATTTTGCTTTTCCGGTTGGGTGTTTTTTGCTTCCTCGCATTTCAAATCATTGACTTGATTCTTGTGCTCCTCTGGTCTGCTGTTGGGAGTCTGTATAATATTCGTTATTTCAGTCCGTGTATGCTTAATTTCTAGTTGGTTCCCCAATATAAGATCGAGGGTCTCATTAGTTTTCTTGTAGATCTCATTAAGTTTATCGGCGGCTTCTAAACAGTTCTTGAGAGACCTTAAAAGTGTGGTTCTGAACTCTATATCTTCCATTGACAATTTTGTCCTGTTTCTTTGTCTCCGCATTTTGTTATGCTTCCTTGGTGCACCCCCTAGTGGTCTTTGTTCGAAGTCTTATAGTTAAATCTTGATTGTTGTAGCTAATTCCAGGGAGGGTTTGACCTCCAGGCCAAGTGGCTATGAGAATCAGCTGTGTCAGCAGTGAGAGAACCTCTGTTCTCTAGGGAGGTGCTAATCTAGCCTTTGCCTGAGGCTATCCGGCAAATGCCTGTGTGCAGGGCTTGGGCTGGGCGGGTCGCACAGGATCAACAGGGTGGGCTGGAGAGAGCAGTTATGGCGGCTCTCAGTCCTGTCCCCAGGGGCTCTGCCTCTCTGGGTCCCAGCACCCGCTGCAAAGCTCAGAGAGAAAGCTGCACTCGCTCTGACCGAAGCCAGACAGTCCCGCTTCTCCCTTTTGAGTCTGGGCCCCTAAAGACTCGCCCGGATCTGGAGCTCAGATTCTGTGACTCTCTCCCGATTGAAAACGCCAACCGCGCCCTCCACCGCCAGCCCGCTCCGCGTACTCTGCACCTCAGAATTTGACTTCAGCACTGCGCCTCCTCTGAGTGTCCATATGCGTTTCTCTTTCCTCCTAGTTGTAGGACTTCCACTCAGCCAGCGTTCCTGTGGTTCTGGGTGATGTCCCTTCCGTTTTTTGGTTTCACTTTTGAAGTAGTTGTTCAAAGCAGCAAACTCTGGCGTTAACCTATGCCGCCATCTTGGTTCTCCTGATGATAACATTTGAAGACGACACAAATAAATGTTAAAATAGTCTGTGTGCATGGATAGGAAGAATTAATATTGTTAAAAGGTTCAGACTACCTAGAAGTTGTCGCTGGGTGAAAAGGGGGACATACGTAATACTTTCAACAATAGAGATTTTTTTTTTTAAGGTTCAGACTACCAAAAATTTACAGATTCAGTTCAATTCCTATCAAAATTTCAATGGCATTTTTCCACAGAAATAAACAGTCCTAAAATTTGATTGGCAGATGAAAGGGGGTGGAGGAGGTAGAAGAGGGTAAAGGGTGGGTAATGGTGATGGAAGGAAACTTGACTTAGGGTGGTAAACACACAATACAATATACAGATGATATGTTGTAGAACTGTGCACTTGAAACCTATTTAATTTTATTAACCAATGTGACCTCAATGAATTCATTAAAAAAGGAAACTACCATATGATCAAACAATTCCACTTCTGGAAATATAGTCAAAAGAAACAAAAGTAATTATTTCAGAGAGATATCTGTAACTCCATGTTCATAGCAGCATTAATTACATTAATGAAGACATGGAAACAACCTAAGTGTCCATTGACAGATGAATGGATAAAGAAGAAGATATATCTTTATACGGTGGGATATTATTCAGCCATAAAAAAGAAGGAAATTCTGCCACTTGGGACAACATGGATGGTACTTGAAGGCATTTTTGTAAATGTAATTAGTCAAAGATAAGTAATTATGATCTCACTTATATGTAAACCCCACCAGCTAATAGATCTAGAGATTGGTGGTTGACAGAAGTAGGGGGTGGGGAATGGGTGAAGTGTGTGGACATAGTAAAAATAAAATAGACCCTGGAGATGTAATGTTCACTATGGTGACTACAGTTAATAAGGATATTTGAAAGTTGATAACAGTATATCTTAAAAGTTCTCATCACAAAAAAATTATAACCATGTGAGGTGATGGATGTTAACTAGACTTACTGTGGTGATATTTCACAGTACATACAAATATCAAATCATTATGCTGTGCACCTGACACTAATAAAATGTTGTGTCGGTTATATCTCAACTAAGGAAAAGAAAAGTGATCAGGATAGACCTAAGTAAGAAATAATATTTGAGCAAAGACTTAAAGAGAGTTTGGGGATATCTGAGAGTACAGAATTTCAAACAGAGGAAAAGATCTGAAATTAGGAGTGTTCCAGCCAAGTTTGAGCAGGAGAAAGTAATCTAGTGTGGCTGAGGGGGTGAGCAAGAGTGAGACTAGTGGGAAGTCCCTGATATGGGCTCCCAAAATAAAGAGCCTTAGAAAGTGTAGTAAGGACCATGGCTTCTACTCGGTGAAATGGGAACAGCTGTGATGTGAAGGATCACTGATTGCTGTGCTGACACTAAAACAGAAAGGATCTAGAAACTGCTAATTAGAAGTTTTTTTAAAAGCTACTTGATTTCAGAGAGAGGAAGTGAGAGGGAAAGAGAGAACCATTGATCAGCTGCCTCTGCATGCCACACACTGGGATCGAGCCCCAAACCTCAAACTGTGACCTCCTGGTTCATAGGTCAACACTGAACCGCTGAGTCACACCGGCTGGACTATTTGCTAAAATTTTTAAATTTTATTATATCTTAAATACAAATCTGTTTTAAACACAATGGAAAAGTATGTATTTAAAGTGTACCTGAAATGTGCTTGAAGAGCTAAATGTTCTTGCTTGTTTTGTGTTTTTTGAGAAAATGTTGTCAATAATTTTTAGAGAGCAACATCTTAGTGTTCCTTCAAAACAAAAATATAACGGTAGTGTTCAGAAAAATGTTTAAAAATTGGTTTCTTAATACATTGTCTCTATTTGTACAAGCTTTGCCACAGGAAGTCTACACAGAGTTGTCCAAAGGTAAAACACATTACTGCCATGACATTTTGTCATCTCCTTTATGATGTTTAGAGTGAATATATACATAAATATATAATATTTATTTGCTTCACAAGAAGGGAGATAGGAGAATCACTTGATTTTTTTTTTAAATTTTTATTTATTGATTTTAAAGAGAGGAAGGGGAAAGAGACATCGATTTGTTGTTCCACTTATTTAGGTATTCATTGGTTGCTTCTTGTACGTGCCCTGACCAGGGATCAAACCCACAACCTTGGCATATTGAGATGGATGCTCTAACCAACTGAGCTACCCAGCCAGAGCCACTAGATGTTTAAAAGGTATTGTGGTTGCCCTAGCCAGTGTGGCTCAGTTGGTTGGATTGTCGCCCTGTACACCAAAAGGTGGCAGGTTCGATTCTCGGTCAGAGCACATATCCAGGTTGCAGGTTCTATCTCTGGTTGGAGCATGTGCAAGAGGCAATTGATCAATGTTTCATTCTCTTTCTCTCTCTCCCTTCCTTTCTCTAAAATTAATAAAAATACAAGGTTTTGTGGTTACTATTGAGGAGAAGAGAAGATGAACAATAGAGTTATGTAATATTAAAGACCTTTCTTTTAGCCTGTAAACAGTGTTTAAGTCAAGTAGCACCACCTTGTGTTGTAGTAGCTTTCATGATTACAGATTCCTCCTTATCCTATCAATAGATACTAATTTCTTCTGAGTTAAGACTTTGCTTCTGTTAAAATGAACATAGCCATAAGAATGGGTAACCAACAAACTGTTTTCTTTCACTCATAATTTGTGTTAAATTTAAATTCATTTACCAAAATTGCTAATTACCAAAAAAGGCTCTGTAGGAATGGAGCAAGGCTTAAAAAGATAAGAATGGAAACAGCTGAGAGGATGGGCATATTCGTATTGGAATTCCAAGAATAAAGATTAGAAAAGTACAAAAATAAATATATCACAATTAATTTCTGGTAAGCATTATATATGATTAACATTAGCAGATAATTTAGCAATGATGTGAAAACCGTCCTACTTCCTAGATGTTGGGGGAAAGGTTTTCTTTCACTTATGCAGAAAGTACAAAATAAAAATGTTGATTAAAGAATCCATCTTTTTTTTTATTACTGAAAGTATTGCAATTTTTATAATGTTTAAAATCAATTTTTTAGATAGCGCTGATTTTATGTAAGTAAGCTCCTTTGATAATACCAATTTTCTGCTTTCAAAATATTATTTTTGGACATATCTAATTTATTTTGTTACTCTTCATACCTGGCAAATTTTTATTGGTTTAACCATTTTTAGTAAAACCACATAAGAGTACATGCTAGAAGTTGACTATCTTCAAAATTAACACATCTTTTCTCTTTTCTCAGAATGAACTCACAGATACACGTGCCAAATTCCACGTACTTTTTCTTTTCTTTGTGTCTACAATGTTCTTCATCAGCGTCCTATCACTTTTCAGCTATCACTGCTGGCTAGTTGGAAAAAATAGAACAACAATAGGTAAGTAGGTCAAAATAAATCATAATGATTTAGGGAAATGACCATAAGTGAATATGAAATCTAGAGGACAATAGATGATAAAGAAGTGTAAAATAATTATATGTGAAAATTCACCGTGACTGGACAGGAACAATGGGTGTATGTAAATGTAAAGGGTGAAGAAGTTAGATAGCCACAGCAGTCTTGAGAAAGAAAAACAAAGTTCGATGAATCACAATACCAGATATCATGTTATACTACCACGACACTGTAATCAAAACAGCCTGGTACTGGCACAAGGATAGGCATATACTTCAACGGAACAGAACAGAGACCCCAGAAATTGACTCAAGCCATTACACTCAATTAATATTTGACAAAGGAGGCACGATTATACAACGGAGTCAAGATAGTCTCTTTAATAAATGGTGTTGGGGAATTTGCCATTTAACAAAGAAAAATCAACCAAAAAAATGAGTTCACATGTCACCTCTGAAACGTGTGTCATAGGTTCGCCATCACTGGGATAGAGCGTCGGCCTGCGGACTCAAGGGTCCCAGGTTTGATTCCAGTCAAGGGCATGTACCTTGGTGTTGGGCACATACCCAGTAGAGAATGTGCAGGAGGCAGCTGAATGATGTTTCTCTCTCATCAATGTTTCTAACTCTCTATCCCTCTGCCTTCCTCTCTGTAAAAAACTCAATAAAATATATTTTTTAAAAAAGCAGTGGTATATTTGGCCTGGTACGTTGTACCTTGTTGTGTTGTATTATGTGCCCTTAAATCAACGCAGCAGATCCAAGCAACAGCAGCCTCCTGATCACCACACCCTCTGAGGATCAGCAGCTGTACGTGAAAGCCTCCCCCCACAAGCCACAAGAGCCAGCAAAGCTGTGAACAGCACCCACCAGAGGAGCTGCTGCCAACTGAGGAGCAGCTGCTACCGCAACCGCCCAAGGAGCAACCACAGCCCAAGGAGCCACTGCCACCCAGGGAGCAGCCAGTGAATGACTCAACGTCTAGATATGTCAGTGAGATCAAGCATGGGTAGACACAGAAACCCCCAAAGAAAACAAAAGGAGGACTCACCAGAAAAGCACCTAAGTGAAACTGAGGCATGCAGCATGATAGAAAAAGAATTCAGACTGAAACCGGTTTGGCTCAGTGGATAGAGCGTCGGCCTGCGGACTGAAAGGTCCCAGGTTCGATTCCGGTCAAGGGCATGTACCTGGGTTGCGGGCACATCCCCGATGGGGGATGTGCAGGAGGCAGCTGGTCGATGTTTCTCTCTTATCGATGTTTCTGACTCTCTATCTCTCTCCCTTCCTCTCTGTAAAAAATCAATAAAATATATTTAAAAAAAAAAAAGAAAAAGAATTCAGAATAAGGGTCCTAGAGTGCATAAACCAGATGAAGGAAAAAATCAACAACATATACAGGAAGCAAGAAGAAACAGATGAAAAAAATCAACTACTTATGCAAGAAGAAAGAAGAAACAGATGAAAAACTTAACAACTTAAGTAAGACCCAAGAAGAAATGAAGAGTGATATAGCTGCAATAAAAAACACCATTGAAAGTATCAACAGTAGACTAGGAGAAGCGGAGGACCGAATTAGTGAATTAGAAGACAAGGAAGCAAAACACACCCAAAATGTACAGCACATGGAGAAAAAAATTAAAAGACAGGAGGAGAGCCTAAGGGAGCTTTGGGACAACATGAAACGAAACAACATTCGAATTATAGGGGTGCCAGAACAACAGAAAGAGGAATAAGGATTAGAAAACCTATTCGAAGAAATAATATCAGAAAACTTCCCTGAGGTGGGGAAGAAAAAAGTCACACAAGCACAGAGAGTCCCAAACAAGGTGAACCCGAAAAGACCCACACCAAGACACATCATAATTACCATGGCAAATGTTCAGAACAAAGAGAGAATCTTACAGGCTGCAAGAGAGAGACGGAAAGTTACATTCAAGGGATCTCCCGTTAGATTATCAAAAGATTTCTCAACAGAAACACATCAGGCCAGAAAAGAATGGACGGACATTTACAAAGTGATGCAAAGCAAAGGACTGAATCCAAGAATACTCTATCCAGCAAGGCTATCATTCAAAATTGAAGGGGAAATAAGAAGCTTCACAAACAAAAAAAGGCTAAGGAAGTTTATCACCACCATGCCAGCAATGCAAGAAATGCTAAAGGGACTGGTGTAGAAAGAAGAAACAAAAAGCTCAGAAAGAAAAGAGCCACAGACAAAAAGAGAAATGGCTACAAACAAATACCTTTCAATAATAACTTTAAACGTAAACGGACTAAATGCTCCAACCAAAAGACATCGAGTGGCTGAATGGATTAAAAAAAACATGACCCATACATTTGCTGTCTACAAGAGACCCACCTCATTAGAAGGGACTCACACAGACTGAAAGTGTAGGGATGGAAAAATATCTTTCAGGCAAATGGAAAGGAAAGGAAAGCTGGGGTAGCAATACTTATATCGGACAAAATAGACCTCAAAGTGAAGGCCATAACAAGAGATAAGGAAGGCCACTTCATAATACTAAAGGGATCAATACAACAAGAAGATATAACCCTGGTAAACATATATGCACCCAATGCAGGAGCACCCAAATTCATAAAAAAAAACTCCTAGAAGATATCAAAGGAGAGATCGACAACAATACAATCATAGTAGGGGAATTTAATAAACCATTGACATCACTGGATAAATCCTCTAGACAAACACTCAGCAAAGAAATAGCAATTCTGAATGACTCACTAGATCAGATGGACTTAATTGACATCTTCAGAACGCTTCACCCCAAAGCCACGGAATATACATTCTACTCAAGTGCTAATAAGACACATTCAAAAATAGGCCACATATTGGGTCACAAACAAAATCTCCCCCAATTCAAGAAGATTGAAATCATACCAAGCATCATCTCAGACCACGATAGCATCATATTAGAAATAAACTACAATAAAAATAACCCCAAATACTCAAACACTTGGAAGCTGAATAGCATGTTATTAAATATTGATTGGGTTACCAATGAGATGAAGAAGAAATTAAAAACGTCCTGGAAAATAATGACAATGAAAACACAACAATCCAAAACCTATGGGATGCAATGAAAGCAGTCCTGAGAGGGAAGTTTATAGTTCTACAGGCCTATCTCAAAAAAACAAGAAAAACTGGTAGTAAATCATCTAACTCTACAACTCAAAGAATTAGAAAGAGAACAACAAGAAAACCCCAGAGTGAGCAGATGGAAGGAGATAATAAAGATTAGAGCAGAAATAAATGACATAGAGACCAAAAAAAAAACAATACAGAAAATCAATGAAACCAAAAGCTGGTTCTTTGAAAGGATAAACAAGATTGACAAACCTCTAGCCAGGCTCACCAAGAAGCAAAGAGAGAGGACCCAAATAAACAAAATCAGAAACGATAGAGGCGAAATAACAACAGACCTCACAGGAATAAAAATGATTGTTAAAAAAATACTATGGACAGCTCTACTCCAACAAACTAGACAACCGGGAGGAAATGGACAAATTCCTAGAAAAATACAACATTCCAAAACTCAATCAGGAAGAATCTAAAAATCTCAATAGGCCAATAACTATGGAAGAAATTGAAGCAGTTATCAAAAAGCTTCCAGCAAACAAAAGCCCAGGACCAGACGGCTTCACAGGGGAGTTTTACCAAACATTCAAGGAAGAACTAAAACCTATCCTCCTCAGACTACTACAAAAAATTCAAGAGGAAGGAACACTTCCAAGCTCATTCTATGAAGCCAGCATCACTCTAATACCAAAACCAGGTAAAGACAACACAATGAAAGAGAATTACAGGCCAATATCCCTCATGAACATAGATGCCAAAATCCTCAACAAAATCTTAGCAAATCAGATCCAGCAGTACATCTGAAAGATCATACACCATGACCAAGTAGGATTTATCCCAGGGATGCAAGGATGGTACAATATCCGCAAATCAATAAACGTGATACATCACATAAACAAATTGAAAGAAAAAAACCACATGGTCATATCAATTGATGCAGAAAAAGCATTTGACAAAATCCAACAGCCATTTTTTTTTATTAGTTAAGGTATTACAAATGTGTCCTCATCCCCCCCATTAACCCCCAACCTCCCCCACACACACAAAGTCATGCTCCCATCCCCCCGTTGTCCATGTCCACAACAGCCATATTTGATAAAAACGCTCAGCATGGTGGGAGTAGAAGGATCATACCTCAACATAATAAAAGCCATATATGACAGGCCCACAGCCAACATCATACTCAATGGACAAAAACTAACACCATTTCCCCTAAGGACAGGAACAAGACAGGGATGCCCCCTCTCACCACTCCTGTTCAACATAGTACTGGAAGTATTAGCCATTGCAATTAGACAAGAAGAAGAAATAAAAGGCATCCAAATTGGAAAAGAGGAAGTAAAACTCCCTATTTGCAGGCGACATGATATTACACATAAAAAACCCTAGAGACACCATCAAAAAACTACTAGACTTAATACACGAATTTGGCAATGTAGCAGGATACAAAATTAACCCCAAGAAATCTGAGGCATTTCTATACACCAATAGTGAACTTTCAGAAAGAGAAACTAAAAAAAATCCCATTTACCATCGCACCAAAAAAATTAAGCTACCTAGGAATAAACTTAACTAAAGAGGTAAAAGACCTCTACTCAGAAAACTACAGGACGTTGAAAAAAGAGATAGAGGAAGACATAAACAGATGGAAGAACATACCGTGTTCATGGGTTGGTAGAATCGACATCATTAAAATGTCCATACTACCCAAAGCAATCTATAAATTCAACGCACTTCCCATTAAAATACCAACGGCATACTTCATAGATCTAGAACGAACTCTCCAAAAATTCATCTGGAATAAAAAAAGACCCCGAATAGCTGCAGAAATCCTGAGAAAGAACAAAGTAGGTGGGATCTCAATACCAGATATCAAGCTGTATTAC